ATTTTTATGATTCAAGTCAATCCGTTTTTAATTTGAAAATAAACAACAAATATATTAACGTATGTATTTAATAATAAACTAAATTTTAATCAAATATTTATTTTAGTTAAATTAATATTGAGTGAAAAAAAGTGAATCTTTAAAGAAATGATTAAAAATTGCTCAAATCGAATATAACATCACGTTATGAATTTAATACTGCAAGTATTATGACATATTAAATGACATTTATTAAAAGATGACTTCTAATACAAACTTATCACTCATTCAAAAAATTGTCAATAAGCAAAAACAAATTCTCGAGTTTTTAGTTTTCAAATTTTCAAGCGCATCATAAGTCTGATAAGCTGTTTGAAGCGGACTAAACACATCGATTAAACTGTATTTGTTAATTTGTTGTTACGTATTTTGCAATTGATTTGTACCTATTCATTCACTAATTCGTATTATAGCCATTGATCGCTACTTAATCCGCTATACAGAAAGCACCAGCTGCGCGAGTTTGTGTGGGTTTAATCATAACATTTAACAGTCTAGTCTAGCGACTGTCAACTTTGGTATGAAATCAATCGTTTGTGTAAGTTATTATTGCGTTATCATTGCTGAAAGGTTTACAATGAAGTTAATAACATCGCTCAATAGTGTAAACTAGCTTTCCAAATCAAAATTTCACGCTTTGCCACTTACAAATTATCTTCATAGTGTGTGAACAATGCTTGTATTAATTAATTCTTCATCATCGAAATCTGAATATTTCTCTCACGATTATTGGATACGTAATTCTCGTATGCATATACAGTATAATAAATAATAAATTAAATAATACAGGTAGATTCTATTTCATTTGGAGAGTTGGAGACAACTGAGAAAATATGTGCTTTTATTTGCGCTGTCTTTGTAAATAAATCGATCGTTATATGGCGCCGTTAAAGAAGAAGCAACACATCACAAGCTTTCTTTTTTAAACAGCTGCAAATATTCTCGAGAAAAACTTCACGCGCCAACGATTTCTGATACAGCTTTATTAATAATTGATTTTAATCTATCGACTGTAAATAATGCGTTAAATAAAACATATTAAATAAAGTAAAAAATAGAATAATAGCTACAAACATGTGTAATTCATAGATATTATTTAAGAGTAGTAAATGAGATAGTAAAAAATATAAGGAATTTTAATATAAGAGTTCTAGGGAGAGCTGGCACTTATTAACTCTCTCGCCGAGCAATTCGCGAAAATTTATAAGAACGTACATCATGAAGAATGTATGTCGAATCTACTGCGCAAGAATGAACTGTCTTTTTTTCGTCTGGCTTTTACACTCTGTAAAAATCTATAACAAACATCAACCTTGTTATACGGTTTATGAAACAGCAAATATCGTTACTAAAATATTCATTAATTTAAGAAGTGTTTTTAACAAAGAATTTCTAATTTTACGAAATCATGTACGGTGAGTATCCATAAATAATTTATCCTATACTTAGTGAACGCGACAATTATGATTCGCGTGACACAATGTCGATACGAATCAGGGATTACCACGGACCGTGTCTTATATACGGCAAGCGTGTTACATACGCGTTACATAGCGCCTCATGAATTTTTCATTGCGAACACGTAGCCGTCCACAGGCTCGTGAAACGTCGAAAGTCATTGCTCTTGTCGGGAGATCAATAAGAGAGTGAAAAATCGTGCGTCTCGAAAAGATTAATGTCTTATATAATCCCGCATCAGCGTTGATTTATTCCGCATAATACGACGTGCAGGGCACTCGTTACGGCGGTACAGATGGCCCAAGATCGAACGTGACTCACCTGAAGCCTACTTTCAAAAGGCAAAATTCATACCAATGCGAATTCAATCAAATCTCCTTCTATACATTTGCAAAAGGAACCGTAAATCTTCCTACGAGAATCTTTCTCGATACTTATTTTTTCGATCTCGATAAAATCTTTAAACCACAAAGGTCTGTCAACTGTCACACAGAAAGCCTAATGAACGTATCTCTTTCTTCACTCTTAACATTCCATCCTTTGATATGGAAAAAAGAGCTTTAATGGATGTCTGACTGCGGATGGATAAATGGATTTATCAGTGGAACTGAGATAGGAAAAAAATAGATTAAAGGAACGCTGGGGATTGAAACGTCGATATTTCATCGAATTCGTTATACAAGCTTTGAATGTCATCCTGTATCTCTCGACATAGTGTGCTTTATACACTCGATACGCAGGACAATATATAGAAGAAAATACATAGCGTGATAGCACGCAAACTACGGATAAAAGAAATAAAAATAATATTTCGATAAATTACGCAGACTTTGAGAGCATTTTGAATAAATTTTCAAATGAATAGTCTATACAAAAAGCCTTTTTTTGCTACATAAATCAAATCAAAGCTGTTCTCTGAAGAATCTCAGTTTACTGAGAGATTTTGTTACAATTTTTTAAAAATAAATCATAGAGATGTAAAAGAATTTAGATTTTAATTTTGTTATCCGTCGAAAATGTTATCACGTTACATCTTGTTAAATATCTACTGCGGAAATAACGAAGGCGGATGTTATGTTAATGAACGGACAAAGCAAATAGACACGCGCTTTTTGGCTGTGGAAGTACAGAAAAAAGTCGAAAGAGCCAGGATATTTTCGCCAGACTCGTTTCGCCGAGCAAATGGTGTGTGCGCCACTTTAAATTTTAATCGCTCCGAGCGGCAGGCGTTTCCGCGCACATTCGCGATTGTAAAGGCGACATAATGAGCGCGCGCGAGCGTGCGGACTCCAAGCTCTGGGCGACGTCGATTAACTGAGGATTACTTTAATTAACTTTACGCTCGCAACGTAACGATGCGAAGCGCAACCAGTAGAGCTGTGCTCAAGTCCAAACGAAGCTCGAGCGATTCTTCATCAGGACGAATCGTACCGCGTTAATTCGTTAAGATCGAAAATTTTCGTCTCGCGCAACCAATGTAACAACCAGTTGTTAAGATAACAGAAATTGTTAAGATAATGACGATTTACGTGATTACAAGGGATACAAACTGAAACAATTTGTCGCGAAATGCATTAAGTCGGTAAGAGATGTACCATTACTTTATTTGAGAGAGTAGAATAAATTTGTTCAGTACAAATTTCTGTCTTTCTCTCTCGCTTTCAAGACTTATAAGCGATTTTATGGGGGATTACTCATCGCTTATAGAAATTAAAAGAAATATCGAAAAATTGCCAAAAGTAACAGTATAAAATTGAAAAAAAAAACTATAGATATTTTCATATGTGATTTAGAAATAATTGTTCCACATCGGGTTTATTCTCCAGTAGATCATTAAAATCCAAAATAGAGCAAGAAAACAGTCAGAAATTACTAATTTTGATAGGCTTTAAATATTTGTAGAGTAATGTAGAGTATCAAAAATATTATATTACCTCCACATTTTTTTAATCTGTTTATTTCAATTCTTAGGCAATAAAACAATTCTTGAGGATAGATTAAATTAATTTGACATTTTCAAAAAATGTGAATACATCGTTATTAAGAATATAAAATATTATAAAACATCATATACTTTTGTACAAAATATTTTTTTATGTATCTTAACAATTTCGAAGATATTAAAAATGAAAAAATGTTATTAGGTGTTGGAATTAATTCGTAGCGTTTTACAAGTGATGGGAAGTACTTTCATTAATGTATTTTTTAATGCTCATGTGAAATAAATAACATTCTTTCATTAAAAACGCTACGAATTAATTCCAACACCTAATATTTTCGAGGTGTGTTGTTTCAAAAAATTTTGAAATAAGTAGATAAAAAATCGGGGTATAGATATTTTTTTATGTTTTACATATGCAAAACCCAGCAAAATCGGTGAAAGATCCAACACGCGACGATTTTCTTGTCTTGGCAAACAGAAGAGTTAAAAAGCTAATCATAGTTGTTTGTAAATCGATTCAGAATTCTTACGAAACTTCCATTATCAAGATGCTTTTATCTCATCAACAATAATGGCGCCCAAAATCGACGAAAAGTTCTATCGTGAAACAGCCAGTTGCAAAGTGAAAAGTTATTTTCCGTTGTTAGGAACATAACAGTCATAAATTAATTATGCATTCACGATGATGGTTTTGTGCAAGTGGTATAAAGCGACATTTCGAAATATAAGCATGAAATGCAACATGATAATAATAATCTTGTTGATAATGGCACATGAGATAATTAATAATAAAACATTAAATAACTATTATATATTGTATTATAATATATTAAATAACTTAGGAATTTTGTTACAAACATATATGTAAATACTAATATACAGTATTTGTATTCAAACAGTCTATTAAATCATTTTTAATTATATAACTTCACATAAATTTCAATTTGGACTAACGATATTCTATTAAAATAGTTAAATAAAGTTTGAATAATTCAATGTACTTCGTTTACGAATATAAATGTCTGTTACATTGGAATTATTCTTGTATTTATCAATTGAAACCAAAGCTTGTATAGAAATTAATCGTGGACGATAAGCGCGTGACGTTCGCTGGTAGTTAATAATACATCAAGTTGATCAGTATTCTTATGATTAATTAATAAGTTAACATACGTGTTGAATGACAGTGGATCTTAGTATTTAGAGAAAATGAAGTAAATGATTTCTATCTTATGATTAAAACTTGTGTCAGTAATCTTCCGTCATAAAAAGTAATCTGGTTAACTGAATATTTAAACTGTTTGAATAAATGATAATCGATGTCACGATATTATCAAACATATATATACTTTGGGACAAAATCTCGAAGTAAATTTGTCTTTAAGATATTAAATATGAAGTAGTCATATACAACAGGAAGTAAATCCAATGGAATTTTCTTAATAATAATATGATAAATTTGTTAACAAATTACGTGTTTTATAGTGTTAAAAATGTACATTATTCTCTTTATGATTGCAGCAGCAATCAAAGATTAGTTTACTGATATGTCACGTCTGAATAAATTCAAAATGAATCATTAGAGACTTCTGCAAAGCCACAGCTTTGAAATGTCAGATTATCCCATATCGCACGTATTCCAAGAGAACTGGAACTATCCGCTTCGAAACGCAATCAGCTTAACTCTGAAACGCAATAAATCCCTTTGACGCATCGTGTGCTTGTTGTTCCCGTTATTGAATCGCCGAAAGCACACGATTAAGACTCTGGCCGATAAATTCCCTTTTTTCAGAAGCAAAAAGGTTAACGTAAAAGCCTATCTTTTGGACTACGTTTTGCCTATCCAATATAAAAAGCGAAAAATTCCCATTGCCTATGTTTCTGTCTTTCTCAATATACGTTAATGGATTCTGACATGAATAAATCGAGTCGTACGGACTGATTGAGTGGTTCAACTCGATGCTTGACATTTTTACACCAGCGACAATTAACAACTATATCATTGCGGCTTGTTTGAGACTCACATATATCGTGGACGCGCGACGTGAGATAAATCGCGACAAATCTTCGTGTGTAAAAATATCGGCTCACTATTAAGATAATGGAAAGCATGTTGAAGATAAGAAAACAAAGGTAGCACTAGCAGGATGTATCTCCATTCCGGGCATAGAACATTAATCAGTAAGAACGACAGCCTGTTGCTCGTTATTAATCAATAAAAAGAAGATTTACCTTCAATCATCATTTCGAGACGTAATGGTACTTAATTTGTACCAGTTTATCATTAATGACAGATTAAGGCCAATTAAAGCGAAGGCGGTGGTAAGTAGTTTGTACCGCAGTTCTGGAGTTGATTATGAAATAACAGATATATATTAGATCTAGATTGATCAGACCGCATCGATAAGACGCAGTTGACTCCAACGCGGTTTCGATTTTAGAAGTTACCAGTATTCAGCTTATCGCGGACGATGAAAGAACTGACTGATACTTAGTCGCTTAATTGCAACCTTCGTGTGTAGATATGAGAATAGAACAGTGGAAAAAAACATAAAATAACAAAAATTAAATTAATTATTTCGAACTGTTGAAGTGAATCGTGCAATCGCGGTGAGTGTATAGACGGTGGATAATAATTTTCGATCAGTGATATTTCCTTAAATTATAAAATAAATTTTAAAATTATGTACATATACATAAATATAACATAAATATAATACAACCTTCTTGTGGAACAAGTAAAGTAATATTGCCTATTTCTATTTGTGAATATATTCGTTTCGACTGTAATTTGAAGAGTAAAAAATAAAAAAGAGAAGAGAGAGAGAGAGAGAAAGAGAGACAGAAAGAAAAATTGTAAATAATTAAAATAATTAAAATATGTTAGAATCGCGGTTGTCACATTCTGACAAGAGCTTCACTAAATCTCAAGGCTGGAAATCTCATTGTTTTAATATTTAAAAAATAATCCTAATATTTAAAATAATTAAACATTATTAAAAAGTCTTGAAAAACAACTACGAACATTTGAAAAATTCAGTAAATATTAGCTAAAAAAAAGTGATACGCCGATCATATTCTATTAGATATGTTTCAACTGCGGTTGCCACCTTTCCCTTTTTAATCAGCAATTTTCTGAACAAATCTCCGATTTTCTGGTAGAAAAATCTCCGGCTAATTATTCTAAATTTTGATAAATTTTTTAAGTGCGCGCACTTTTTTTAAGTCAATTTTCCTTCAGAAGAGCAAAAATTAGATGACCGTTTTTATTTCGCAAGCAAAAAGAACACAAAAAAATAATAACAATTTCGGCAATACTGCTCCATCTTCAGCATAATAGTGGAATCTTCAACAAAATAGCCATCGATATTTAGCGATACACTTGTGGAAAAATATAATGGCAACTGTATTTCAGCATATCGTATTATTTTCAATTGAAAGTATCGATGTCCGAGTGACCTAAAATTAAGCGTATTCAATAAAGAGAAAACTACTTGTTGGATTCGTCGTTGAAGGCTGAAGCTTCGGAATCTCACCAGAAGAAATAGGGCAGCCGTTTCATTCTCGTCTCACATGGCTGCAACCACGAGTGTAAGTGACACAGTTCCGTTCGCGCATCGTAGCTGCAATGCGCTGCTGTTCCAATTTTGTTATCGCGTAAAGAACAAATGACCAACATGTTTCATGAAATATACAATACTCCAAAATTTAATTTACGTATATTATTAGTTGTACTTCGCGGTCGGACTTATATTAAATAAACAAATTGTTTATTCTTAATATTCTTTGGTATATATTTTTTAATAATATATAGAATACAATTCCTTATCATATAACTCCATCTTCGATTTCTGCTGTCTTCCGTTATATGTGAATGTTTCGTTATATAAATTCCCCAATTTCGTAATATAATAATTACAGTTATATATAATATTATTAGGTGTTGGAATTAATTCGTAGCGTTTTACAAGTGATGGGAAGTACTTTCATTAATGTATTTTTTAATGCTCATGTGAAATAAATAACATTCTTTCATTAAAAACGCTACGAATTAATTCCAACACCTAATATATTATACACATATACTGTATTATTAATGTTATTATAACTATAACTAATTTTGCTGATTAATATATTAGTTAATTTACGATCATTAAATAGTAATTAGTTTGATAATCAATGCGCATTGTCAATCAATTTTCATACTAATTCGGCGCTTCTAACTTGTTCGAAAAAGATCATGTTAATTGCTTCTTGTAATATTAGTTAATATTAAATTCTTCATAAAATACTACTGGTAAGGACCGACAACCGAGCTCTACCATCTCGATGATTATAAATATCACAATTGCTAGAAGAAGGGATCGTGAACGTGGAACGTCGGGAGAGAGTGACGTAAAAAAGAAAAAAAAAAGAAAAAAAGGAGATACAAACAAGAATGTGTACACGAACACGAATGTAGACGGCTAATATCAGCGCATGCGCATTTTGACGACGCGTCCGATTCGCGAATGCGACCAAAGTACTAACGAAATCGTGAAAGTGATCATATCCAGGAAGAGCGAGTCGATCATGTAACACGTTGTTTTTAGAATTCGATTGCACATTTACGTTCTAAAAGGGTTGGAGCGGAGAAGGCATGATAGGAGTAACCGATCCGCTAGTGAGTATCGATTTCGTCTTGCTTTCACGTCGAGTTCACGTTTCTTTTATCGCATTCTCAAGTATGTTTCATGGTCAGATAAAAACCCGTTTTTTAGTTGAGGTTGTAAACGCACGTATATACGCGGCGATAATACGCGGTATCATCTTACTTTCACAGAAGCGCGCACGCTGGCATTGCGCTCGAGCACGTGTAGTCTGCGATAACGTCGAATATCTACGAAATGGGACAGAATTTTCCATCTTTTTCAACTTTTTAATATAGTTTGCAATTCGCAAACAAAATTGAATGTCTTAATTATGAGCATACTTTGTGATTCAACGCGGTTTGTCATACATAACGCTTAAAGTAAAATGAGAAAATACGGATGTAATAACATATAACATTGCGTAATTTCTTAATACGCATCTTGCAAAATATAATCTTTACAGAATAAGTGAATTTGCCAAAGCCGTAAATTATCCACTGGCAAAGCGTTGCGTTTCAAACGAGAGAAAGAGAGAGAGAGAGAGAGAGAGAGAGAGAGAGAGTTCATGCAAAGTAAGAAATTTGAGCATCCTGTATAACCTACTCATAAAAGGAGCAAAAGGATCTCTCCAAATATGATCGGGCTGATCGATTTCACCGCATTGGCGGTATTCGCAGGACTTAACGGGGAATGTTCCAACATTGAAGGATGCAATGGGGCATTGACCGACATCGGCGACTTATGTAATGCCTTGTATCTCGAATCGTGTGCTCCATTTTGTTACATAGATACACGCGTCGCGTACGTTCGCGGTATGTCCCCAAAAATATATTCGGAGCGATTAATTTATATCGTTCCGTCGATTACGAAGTGAGCATGGATGTTCCGTTCACCTTGATTTTCAAACATTTTGCGGGCAAGTGCTTGCGATGGCTCAGAAAAGTCGCGAAAAGGTGCGCGAACACGTTGGTGAGTACCAACGGGGCGAAAGTCAAGATATATTCGCCGTTGCTCGTACGCTTATCAGAGTCAACGTTGTTGCGTGCTTTGAACTATCGCGATAAGTATAATAGTTATGTATAATAATTGCCGATGACGAGATCCAGCTAGGTTATGTCGTGAGTAAACACGCGACCATGAAGAGCGATGTATTCTTTGAAAATGCGCATGTGCAGTCGATCGTGAAACTTTATTTTGGCGCCATGCTCAATTGGAGAACGATAAATGCTCAGTCGACAATTAATGTCCATTTTCACAACTTTAATTTGTAAATTTACTTTTTAATGTACTAAAAGTAATAATAACAAGAAAGTAATAATAACAAGAAAATACAGAACATAAGAAATAATTTAAAAGAAATTTTTCGCTTTTTTGTTTAGGAAAAATCAAGTTTGGAGAAATGTAAAAGAATTGCTCATATATAATTCTATGTGAAATTATGCATATAGTTATGTATGAGCAATTTTTTTGCATTTTTCCAAACTTGATTTTTTTCTAAAACAAACAATGCCAAAATTATCCCATTAACAAGACACCTTTGACATTTTCTCAATATTATTATTATTTTTAATATATTAAAAAGTAATTTTATAAAAGAAAGGAAGATGTATGAACATATTTTATATATAATTATGTATGTTTACGCGTGTTTAGATATGTTTATACATATTTTTTATATATTCATGTATAAAAAATTTTTTACCGGATAAAATAATATAACATCGGTGTGTGTGTGTGTGTGTGTGTGTGTGTGTATGAGAGAGAGGCACATCACATTTTTCATTAATAACTTATTTAAAACTTTCTCTAATTTCATATTGTCTCAATAAAGCAGGGGCTAATTAGTGAATTCTTTCGCATGACGATATATCACTAAATCACGGAATTTTCGAGTTCTTTAAGAAAAGAAGGTGGATTTTCATTTGATTTCTTATATTGCTACATTAATCACTATCACCTGTTGCTTCTCACTTCGGAAAAGACTTCTGCATTCCGTCACGCGCAAGGAGATATATGCACAAGTATTAGATGCGCTGTTTATTTTGTATCGACAATGACAATGATGTTCAATCGTTCGCAGAAACATTTCGTAAATCTTATAACGTAATAATAATAATAATAATAATATGATTGAATAAGAATAAAATTAACAATAATAAACTATAAGGGCTACGAGTCGAACAATATCTTTTAATATTATATAATAACAATCAACATTATAAACAATATAGACGTTTTGACACCAATCGGGTCATTATGAATGTTAAACAAATTATAATATAAAATTAGTAGTTATGCGTACAATCTTATAGTTAAGTAAAATATGAAAATATAAAAAAGACGAAAAATTACTCTCTCTTATCCAAAAAAAATTTATGTGTTTGATGTTTCAGACAAATAAATGTGATTCATCATCGACTGTATAACAAAATAATAATTGTATTAACCATAATTATTGAGTGTCCCGATAGATGGATTTTCCATAAAAAAATAAAAGTCCAAAGATAAAGTCAAATTTTTTCAAAGGATAAAAAATCAGGCCTATGTGAGTCAAACGTAAAAGGCAGTCAAAATTCACAGTTAATAGAAAAAAGAAGCCATAATGCGATAGAGATCAGAGTGTAAAAATTATTTTAAATCTATATCAAGAAACATTATACAATGTATATAACATCATCGTATAACGTCTCTTGATATAGGTTTAAAATAATTTTGATATTCTGATTTCTATCGCATTATTGCTTCAGTTTTATTTCTGTTGACTGTAAATTTTGATTGCTTTTTTTCGTTTGACTCACATTAATCAAGAACTTATATTTATGCAAAGGGAAAAATCATTATTTTTGTTATACAATCAGTGATGAACTACATTAATCTGTCTGCCATCAAATACATGGATTTATTGGAGAGAGTAATTTTTCGTATTTTTTATTAGGTGTTGGAATTAATTCGTAGCGTTTTACAAGTGATGGGAAGTACTTTCATTAATGTATTTTTTAATGCTCATGTGAAATAAATAACATTCTTTCATTAAAAAACGCTACGAATTAATTCCAACACCTAATATATTTTCATTTTACTTAACTATAAAATTATACGCATAACTGCTAATAATTATAATTCAAATTTGTTTAACATTGATTCGATCGGTGTCGAAATGTTTATATTGTTTACAATGTTGATTGTTATTATATTCTGAATATTAAAAGATATTATTCGGCTCATAACCCTCCTAGTTTATTATTGTTAATTTTGTAAATTATTTTGGCGAAAAATAGTGATTAATTTTTAATCACTATTTTTCGCCAATGGCGTTATAATTGTAAGATTTACAAGTGAGGAAATTTAGAATAACTACAAAAATAATTTTTTCTAAATAAAGAAGGATACCCTTTATATCGCTTCAGTTCGAGCTATAAATGTCACACAGCACCAAAGAAAACTATCGTCTTTCCTCTAAAAAATCAATATCAATTTCTATCTCAGATTGGCATGGTAAAGGAAGCGGGACCAAGGGATGAGATTGTGACGCAAATCTCGTCTTCCCAGGACAAGCATCACGATGAACAAACGGCAAAGCACGAACGGACACAATGGAGACAATGGCTAGCATGTATATCAGGTTTACATCATATTTCATGAAATATCGCGCCCTTAAAGGTAACATGAAAATCAATTCGGCAATCAATCACCATTAATCTTCCGTCAATCTCCATTTCACAGCGACTCTATCCATGGTAGCAGTCGGCACCGTCTACGGATGGACTACCACGTCGCTCTCACGACTCACATCCGGCGCCAGCGACGTTCCAATAAAGATAACCGACGATCAGGGCTCATGGATCGTATCGTTGACGGTGATCGGCTCAATGATCGGTCCGTTCCTTGGTGCCAGTCTTGCCGATCGATACGGCCGTAAGAAGTGCCTTTTGTTCGCAAGCGGTTTCTTCATCGTCGGCTGGACAATCGTCTTCTTCGCCCAGACTGTAGTTGCTCTTTACGTTTCTAGGATGATTCTCGGCATTGGCGTGGGCATCTCATACACTACCAATCCGATGTACGTATCGGAGGTCGCTGACGTCGAAATTAGAGGTGCCCTCGGTACTTTGATTGCCGTGAACGTGTTCACCGGTTCCTTGTTGACATGTAGTATTGGTCCATGGGTATCGTATCATGTTTTAACGGGTGTACTTCTCACGGTACCTATCTTATTTGTGGCATGCTTCTCCTGGTTCCCCGAGACTCCTGCCTTCCTCGCAACCAGAGGTCGTAGAGCAGAAGCAACTAGGTCTCTAGCGTTCTTTAAAGGAATTCGCGATCGCGACGAAGCAAGGAGAGAATTGGAGTACACTTTACGTAATGTTTTTATCGAAGACGTTTGCGATAATACTCCAGTGACCGGTCCTGGAGCTCGAACGGAACCCGTTAAGCGCAGCTGGATGGGAAAACTGAAGCTGATGTTGTTGCCCAGTAACGCCCGAGCTCTCGGCATTATACTCAGTCTAATTGCTACGCAGCAACTCAGTGGAAACTTTAGCACTATACAGTATCTTGAAGTGCTCTTCAAGAAAGCAGCGATCGGCATCGATTCCAACGTGGCTACGATACTTGTGCTCGCGGTCGGCCTCATCTCATGCGGATTATCAACTGCGACCGTTGAAGGTGCTGGCAGACGTCCGTTACTAATCGCCTCCACCTTGGGTTCTTCCATTACCCTAGCAATTCTTGCAATATATCTTATGCTAGACGAAAGAGGCGTCGACGTATCAGCCGCAAATCTTCTTCCAGTGATCGATGTGATCATCTTCCAAGTGGCCTACCAAATCGGACTGGGTACTCTACCAAACGCGTTGATCGGAGAATTATTTCCTACTGAGGTGAAAGCGTTCGCCGGTGCCATTATCATCGTTTTCGACGGTGTGCTTGGTTTTATCGTATCCAAACTGTATCAGGTGATTGGCGATTGGTTGGGTGCCGACACCGTTTACTATTTCTTCGCGGGATCGTGTTTACTGGCGTTCGTGATGGTGATATTCGCCGTGCCCGAGACCAAAGGTCGGACGTTCCGTGAAATTCAGGAACTTTTGGGAGGTAGCGAGAAGAAAAAAGAAGTCACCGAATGTTTGCAGGATCGAAATAATATGGCATGACAAAAAAGAACATTTCGCATATCTTTACTGAACATGGTGCGAATTTACTAACGAGATAATCATCGGACGTTCTTTCCAAAGCAACAAACATTAAAACGGCAATTACTTACTCTCAACTGTATATAAAATGTACGTTTACACGTTTTTCACGCAACAAAAAACAGAGTGCAAAGGTGAAATCGCTTTTGCCTGTTAATCACGATTTTTTTCGTCTGCTAGCGGAAAATAAAGTGGTTTTTATTAATATCGTTCTTGCTGCATAAATTTATCCTGATAGTTTCATTCGTGTTCCTTCAACTGTAAGTATTTTTCGCCAATATTCCCAAGATTATATGGTTGTGTCGTGAAATATAATACTTATTTATTAAAACTCTATAAAGAACTGTCTTTATACAGCTTTTATCGTTTTTTTCACGCCGGATGTTAGGCGAATCGGATATTTAATGGGACGTCAAATTTTAGAATTTCTCATACATACAAGATAAAATATTTAAATAAGGAAAACTGCGTGAGAGAGAAGTAAAAATAAAAAGGACGCAAATAAAAAGTTCTAGTAAACTCGCCGCATCTCTTATACGACAAGCGTAAAAATCATAGCTAGACAACGGTTAAACATTGAGATGAAGAGAAAGAGAGAGAAAACAATGCTTGAAAAATCGCGAGAATGTATCGCAGTTAAAGAACAAAAAGAAAGCGTAATGGGAAATCCTCCAGTTTTGATATATATTGTCAAGAAAGACAAACGTTTTTATAACCACTGATTACACACACACACACACACACACGCGCGCGCAAAATATACATATATATATGTTTACATATTGTTTTATAAAATATATATTAAATATTTTATTAAATGTCATTTCTTATAAATATAATGTTTACGATCTTTCAAACAATGCAATCAGTGAAGTATTATATCTGCGCGATTATGATAAGATACGATAGAAAAATATACGTATATCTAGGAATTTTTTTTATTTCATAAAAAAATCTTCAGGCGATGCTTTTTCCTCGATAAGTTTAGTATTTAGTCAAAGCGGTAAATAAAAATTTCAATTTATAGAACATCTAACATATGAGGATTTTGCACATAACCTTATTAGACTTTAGCGACGACACGCGGCAGATAGAATATAAAAACAACATTTTTTAATGAAATATATATTTTAAAATATAATACATTTTAAAATATAAAACAAAGAATTGCCAGCTATCAGATTTCAATCGTGTTTTTTTTGCGTAAATAAAAATATCAGAAACATATTTTTTTATAGATAAAATTAAAAACGAATATTTTGTTGCAAATTTGTTGTACAACAGTTTGCAAATATCAATATTCTTTAAATCGGCTTAAAAAATCTTTATATTGTATACAACAAAATGCAAAGCCGAGGAAAAAAAAGACAATTAAAACAACATTAAAGCACGAGGAGGAGAATGCTTTATTGAGTCAAAGAGAAATAAATATCAAATAGTGAACAAATAATCATATTTTTAAAGAATAAGAAATCCTTACGTCATATGATGCTATTCCGAAATTTCATTTTCTCTTTTTTGTATCAATGAAGCCACACGAGCGATGTGATTGACGGTAGACATTTCAATTTACTTCTCGTATTACGTGCTATGCTACCGAGCATTATTTCGAGATCGCGATATGCACCGTCCATTTATTCATTAAACAAAAAATTAATAAAGGATTGCGTTATAAAATCATTAAACAAAAAATTAACAAAGGACTATATAACATAATTATGAGCAAAAAATTATTGCACGTAGAAGAGATCGGGACTAATTATACTCACTTTTTAGTTTCAAATTTTTACAGACGAAATAAAGAGACTTTGAAAAATGAATTCTATACCAGTTATTACATACATGAGAAATTGAATTGCTAGTATGAAAAAAATATATTTTTCTAATGCATTCCATCCATGTCTTCGGGACTGAGGTAGGATGACACATGATATGGGGTAGTTTGACAATAAGGCTGTGTTCGGGAAGTACGTTATCAAAACTATTTGTATAATATTATATATTTATATATGACTATATATTAACAAAACTTTTATAAAAGTATATTTTAACCACAAAATACATCTCAAACATAAATATCGGTCATAAATATTTAGTATAAAATAAAAAATCTGTAACTCTTTATATATTGAACCCTTTGTCACTAGATAAATAATAACAATTTAGTCTAATATCATCATTTAAAAAAGAGTAAAATTCTTGAAAAAGAGTAAAATCTTCAAAAAACGAGTGAACATTTCATTTTTTTTTTTTAAATAAGATCACAGTGAATGACAGATTTTCTAATCACGGTCAACTTTAATAATTAATATCTCGCTTCGCAGGGCAGAGTGACTTTTTTTTATTAAATTTCGTGCAAAAACACGAATGAGACTAGTTTCACCAAGATTGGTAAGGGGACTAAACTTAATATTTACCATTGAAGTAAATCTCTTTAAAGGAGTGAAATATTGCCATTCTTTTTTAAGAAGTGAAATATTTTCACTCTTTTTCAAAAGTGGCTGTATTTTTATTCTTTTAAAGTGAAATTTGCTCTATGCTGGAGTTAGTCTATTAGTCCCATACGTTCATTCTTTAAAAACATTAACAGTACATACGACACAAAGATAGATAAACAAAAATAATTTGAATTTTATCAGGAAATGGAACAACTCGTTACTTGCAACGAAGTTACTAGTTACAAATTATTTTTTTGATAACTTTACTGCAACTGCGTTATTTTTTTTTATAACTGTAATGGTAATATAGTTTTAGTAACATTTTTTTAGTAAACATAATGGCAACTAATTTTACAATTACTTTTATCGTTACTTTGCACATGATTGAACACGGTTCGATTGGACACAAGCTCATAGTGCTTAAGACTAGAAAGGTCTTAGGCGCTCGTCCGCTAATTAATGGTCGTCGATTTTAAAAAAAATAATGGAAAAGTAACGAAAAGTTACTTTCTCAAGTAACAGTAACTGTAATGTTACTATAATTACTTTTTCTACTCGGTAACTATAATTTAATGTTACTTTTAACAAGTAACTTTCCATTCCCTGGATTTTGTTAAGTAAAAACTATAGGTTTCATCTATGATGATATCATGGATGAAGCTCATTAGATGAAAAAAAGGAAAAGGTTAAGCTTACACAGACTAACACAAGTTAACCAGATAATCGAAAATCGTGTCTTATTGTCTAAATAGAAATCTAAATAGAAATAGCTATTTAACAATTTACATATTATTATAAAATAAAACTTCAAGAATAAAGATTTACGTGTACGTTTTTTGAAAATATATTGATAGCGTAATCTCTGATGTAGATAGATGCACCCGCATCGAGATACCAGAACAGAGTGAGAGACAGTCGTTGCATGTTCAAACACGTTTATGCGTGTCTACTAATCCCAGTCTTCCCTACATGACGAGACAAGGAACATAAACTATATTTGTCTGAGAAGAACGAGGTAGAACTCGGTAAATGGAGAGAATAATTTCTCCTGTTGTTTGCTGAGAAAAAAAACAAAGACAAAAGAATCATAAATGTAGCGAAGAGATGCGGAATCATTTAGAGAAAAGAAAATTCTATGTACATTCTCCGTATCATGAGTAAAGCCCCGTATATCGAAATAACATAATTGTTGCAGCGCCAGTGTTCTTACAATAGCAATGAATAGTTTTATCTTAAAATAGTCCGTAAATGGTATCTAGAGATTTACTGTACTATCGGGGAATAGCATATTATTAGACTTTAAAAAAAAAATAAAAAAATAACCCCAAGTATACGCGTCATATAGAAAAAGATTCGCTATGTAAAAAACTAGAATCAATTGCAGCTGTCAATAAAATCAAAATACAAAATTACTTATTTAAAAAAAAAGAAAAGAATAAGGCGTCAAATATAATAAAGGCTTTTCCTGAATATAAAAAAAAGTTATATCGTAAAAGGAATTTAAGTGATGTATAATTTAAAAAAAAAGTATAAGGAGAGATTCTATTAGGTGTTGGAATTAATTCGTAGCGTTTTTAAATGAAAGAATGTTATTTATTTCACATGAGCATTAAAAAATACATTAATGAAAGTACTTCCCATCACTTGTAAAACGCTACGAATTAATTCCAACACCTAATACTTTGGAGGGTAAAAAAATCGATGTTTTTTTTTTACATTTTTTGCTTCTCTAAAGTGTAGAATACGCCTGTAAAAAGATTTTGCAATATTCAAAATGTACGACTGTTAATCGAAAATCAACTTAGACTTAATTTTTTTATATGACGTAGATAAACATTGTACACAAATAATCCCAATTTGAATAATATTGACCGTATAGTTTTCTTGTAAATCATATCTCCTTATGGCGGTCCGAAGTAGATAATCATCGATTTAATACATACTCAGCCAACTTAGGACTTTGAAAAACTAGAATTTGACAGATGAAATGAACAATTGTGTACAAAAAGCAAAATCATACTCAGTAGCGACAGTGAATTTTTTTGTGGTCTGCAATTTTTAGTGCGCATGTGTCGGTTTGTACACTTAGGAATATGGCGGACGTATTAGGAGCTTAATAAAAATTCAAATTTAAGAGCCTGTCCTAGCTCTACTGTGTACACTTCACAACATAGCGAGATCATGTGACTTAAGAATACCTACACTAAAGATGTCGACGGTCAATATCTCTACTATATATGATTATACTGTGTCTCTGATGTGATTGCCCGTCACATTGTGCAACATTACCAAATATACACTCGATCTCCCGAGTCATTGGCAATCTCATACATTTGTTAATATTCTATATATACACTAATAATTTACTAAGAATATAGTACATAAATAATATTCACAATTCATTACATTAATATTGCATATAATACGGAATCGCTGTAATGACAATTTATTTCAGTTGCATTTTTTACTCCAAAGTAATAGAAGCAAGCCTCCTTAAAGCAATTTATGACTTGTTGAACTGAATTTTGCACCGGTCGAAAATCAAGTGAGCTCAACGATAATATGCGCAAAACAAGTAAGAAGCAAAAGAAAGAAGAAGGGTTCAAATGCAGCAAAATTTGTTCTTCAAACAGAGGAGAAATGATGGTAAAAATGTAACTTAGGGGAGCATCCCCAAATGACCTTGACCTTACATATGTTGTCAAGGTCATAACCCTGAGTGATCTCCAACAGATTTTAGTCATCGGTCGCCTTTCGTTAAAAAGTTGT